TGTAACTTTTAGGAGTTAAATAATTACTTGTTGATTAATTGACAGGTCGCGGATACTTGGATCGTGATGATTTCTTACGGATTCCCGAACTTGCAATCAATCCACTTGGTGATCGCATTGTTGATGCGTTTTTTACTGAAACGTAACCAATTTTGTTAATTTTCGACTCGCTTTTATACATTTGTTTTTCATGGTTTTGATGAAACTGCTTTTCTTGCATTTATTTATTCATACATACTTAAACGTTTGGTTGGTTGGAAACTGATATCACTATTTTAGAGAAAATGTAGAACAAAAGATCAATTTCCGAGAGTTCATAAGAGTATTGGCGCACTTTAGGCCAATCAGTAAAGAAAAAAGAAATATTCTAAACAGCAGGGAAGAGAAATTGAAATGTAAGCAATTTTGGATATCTTTTAGACTGAGCATTGATTCAGGGAGCATATTGTTTGGATTGTAATGAGTAAATTTTAAATCCCGATTACTACACGCAGTTTGTGTAGTTGCCATCATTTACAGTCAGGGTTTAGATATTTTGTATGTATTATCAATATGAGCCTGTTGGTTCTCCTTCAGTCTTAAATTCAGAATCTGCGAAATATGTGCAGATTCTGAACCTTAGACTGAAGCATCAAGGTAGCGCATTTGAAGCACTCTTCCTACTTATATTGACGGTATTAATATTATCGCTTATTTATAGTACCAACGTTATATCCAAATGAAAAGAATCTATAATATTATATGTTGCTTATTTAGAATCCACTTACATCATATGTCTTACCTAATGACCTTAGTAGAATCATAGTATTTTACAAACCGGTATGTTTCTATATTTTATGAAACTTAATTTATAGTCGCATTTTCAATGTACGACTTGAATAAGAATGGTTTTATTACAAGAGACGAATTCAAAGTGATCCTGAATATGATGGTTGGTGCAAATATAACCGCTGAACAAGTATGTTTTTTAATAAAATTCTAAAGCTGTACTCATTTTACATATATATAAACCAATCTTATTTGGCTTCTGAATTTATATTATTTGATATAGTTTTCCAAATTAACTTTTATTGAGCTACATTAAAAGATTGGGAATAAAAGTAAATGGAAATAAGCTGAAAATTTGCAGACCAGATGATCTCAAAATTAATCCTGAAATAATAACTTTATCGAGTACTGTTTAAAAAAGTTGTTTTATTGCTAATTTACATATTAATTTGAATATACACTTCATAGAAAGTTATTTTATCTCTGATGGATTTCAGCTAGAGAGCATTGCTGATCGGACAATATCTGAAGCTGATATCGACAACGATGGAAAAATTTCATTCGATGAATTTTGTCGGGTGAATTCCGCTTTTTTTGTTCAAAAAAAAAAAATCCACTGAATTGGTGAATCGGTTCACTTATATTTGAGTATATTTACTTCCATCTCAGAGATCTCTGCAAGCATCTCCTGATGAGAGTATTTTCACATAGCTAAAATTTTAGCAGCAATTGTTGCAGAAATGGTTTTGGGTATTTTGTGTACTTTAGAAATTTTTTCTGCAAGATTATAAGATCGTGAAATCTCAAGAGTACATATAAATTGTTGTTTGTTTGAGGATTTAATATTTCTTATCCCTTTTTCCTTCTTCTACATAATTACTTTTACTTCGAGCCATCTAATTTTGAGAAAAAAACCTTGCTGCTTTTGTGATTCTTATCCTCGAAAACACTTTTGTATTTTTTATTTCGAGTTTTTTTTTGTGTTTCCGTCATCAAAATCAGTACTTAGGGAAACTTTATAAAGTAACAAGTTATTTTATTTATATGAAACAAATATGTGATACAGCTAAATTGCAGGCAATGGAAAAGACTGATATTGAGCAGAAAATGTCAATTCGCTTTTTGAATTAGAACAAAGTAACTTACTAAGCTGTCATTGTGAATCGATTATTATTAATCTTGTTCAGCATGCTATATTTCGTGAAATCTTACTAGTGAATGTGAGTATTTTATGTGTGTGTGTGTGTGTTTATACTTTGGCATTTTTCCATGGGAAGTTAGAGTTAACAGTTATTACAAAGGTTGGACCCAATTATTGTCTCGAAAGATGCGATCTATGGTTTGAACGATGTGATACTTTTTCATTAACAGTGAAAATATCTTGTTAGATGTTCGTAAATCTGATCTCTCTGGATACTCGAGATTCAGATTTACTAAATATCTTCTTTTGCATAGTAAATACAATAGGAGGAAAAACAGAAATGAAGAAAAAAGAAGAAAAAGTGAAGAAGAAAAGACAGTGTACATGTGATTGTGTAAGCTCGAGCAATTTAATACAATGCATTTTTTCAAAGGAGTTAATGATTTTTATTTGATTATTAAAATTTTATTATTTGTTACTTGAAAGTACTATTATTGTTATTTGAAAGAACTGTCGGAAATCGATTTTTATTTCTTTGATGGTGCGCTTTGTAAAGCTTAAAAATGAGAAGAAGAAGGAGTGCTTTACTTTAAATTTTCCTTTAAATCTCGGGTGATTGGAGAATAAGGTCAAGGAAAGATTTTCACTTTTTACACAATACACTCTTTTTTCAATACTCTTAGATTACTTTTGATTGAATGTAAATTCTAGGAAATGCTATATTCTCGGAATTGCTTCCTCCCTTTTTCCCTAAATAATATTTTTCTGCCTTGCATGAATGTTTCCAGTTATTCCATTCTTCGTCTTTTCCTGTTTATGTTAAATTAAGCATTTTGATTCTTCTCAATTCTGTTGCTGTAACGAATACAAATGTAGTGTTACGTCAATAAGAAAATAGGAAGATCTTGATTAAATACTTTTATAACTAAGCCTTTTTAATGTTATACTCATTGATCGCAATATCGCAATATCCATGATCAGGTGTGGTTAGGATGATTTCATAATTGGAATCATAAGCTTTAAGTCTCCCATGTATACTTCTGTAATTATTCAATTACACAATCATGTTAACTTTGACACTAACGCACTTTCTTGCGTTACAGTTTATTTTCATGTGTTTATTTTGCAAAATATAGCTAAAAATGTGTAAATACAACAATATTTTGAGTCAAGTCATGGTTTCGATAATAATAATTTATAGGATGCTTTGCATCGGATTATGATACGTCGTGATAATATCATGACGATAACAAGCAAGAAGCGATAGAATGCGGCAAATATGTATAGATTGCTGTTTTAAGCATATGATGAAGTTATTTTATTAGCATCCTTGCAGAGGATATATTCGAGAAGTTATATATTTGCTCCCTTCATAAAAGCTGCTATTTCGAAGGAAATATGTCGAATTCAGCATTGGATTTTTATGAATTCAGCAATTGAGCGGAAATATTATAACGAGAAATTTACATAACTATTAAAGGATTTTAATTTCTCCCTTTTCAAGTAATATAAGAAATAATCCAACGTGAAAACACGAATGAAGTCGGTGAATAAGTGCATTGTATTCGGTTACGTTTACATTTATTCATTCCTTTAATAAATTCTCTCTAAAATCAAAATATGAAGCGATACAGTTGTAGAAAGAAAGCAATTCTTCATTTTTATTTGATACTTTGAGCTTAAACTACTATAAATTTGCATGCCCTGAAAAATTTAGAAACGGATCAATGAAGCAAAAAATGATCAAGAAGTGTTGCCAAAAATAACTAAAGTAAGATCCGGAAAAAAAAGAAAACGAATCACAATCAAAGTTATGAATCATAAGATAAATAATTGCTTTCTAAGAATCACTCATGTAATTGATATTTCAATGAAATATCTCAAGAATTTATTGTTTGAGAAAAATTTATGTTTACAGTTAGTTTTAGAGTTACAAAGCACTGAATTTTTTATGCTAATTTTATTCCAATTATGAAAAACAATTATGAAATGGCGATTATCTTCTCGATAACTTATGTTAAAATAAATTAGAACAAATCGATATCCTACATATTACTATTATAACGAATTATATTCATAAACATAAGATAATTCATATCAAATTTTTTGAAGATTTCCATTAACAATTAATTCTTCACGTTAATATAATATGTTGATAATATTCTGTTGCTTCAGAAAAAAGCTTGAAATTAAAGTTTTCGAAAGTTAAATTCCGGAATATACGTCACTCTGAAAATAATCCTATTTTCTTCGTTTTTTTTTTTTTTTGCTTTTGCAAATTGAAGTATTGAGCTAAAAAATATTATGAAATAACAACGAAATTTTTGAATGTTCTTTTTTTGAAATGTTCAATTTAAATTCAAAAAACAAAATTGAAAATTATGTACACATCATGTCTATTTTGTTTTTACATCATCATATTGTAATCTTTTCAAAGTGCTGAAGCTATTAACTGTACGAATGACAATTTTTCATTTAAAACAAAAAAAGGAAAGTTAGAAAGAGAAGGTAAAAGATTTAAAGCAATTGAATCATTAATCATTTCTTCCCATTTTGACTGTAATGCTAGCAATTGCAAGCAAACGCTAATTGTGAAATGAATTTTACTTTTTTAATTTTCACATTTTGATATCGATTGTTCGGAGTATGTCGATCAACAGTTCATCATTATTGGTGTATTATAAATCTGCTTTTCTGATGATTGACTAATCTCTGTGCTTTTTTTTCTCTCTCAAAACACTCTTTCATTTCTATTAATACTTTTAAGATAATAATATAATTTAGGAATCATTAAATTACTGTAAAGGATGCGATCATTATCTTTGATTAATTAAAACAATTACATTTATTAATCAAATTTACTATGACATCGTGAGGAACGAATAAAGAAAAAAAAAAAAGGAAAAACGGAAATTTTTTTTTTGTTCGTTTTGTGCTTATAAATTTTCAATTTTTTGAGAAAGTTCAGATTATTTTTCAGAGAAATTGATGTTCAAACTAAAAGAGAGAAAGGTCAAGGTCAATGTATGCTTACGTTATTTTTCTGTTCTTAACCTCTATGATGTATTATTATTCATAGCAATTGTTTTTTACAGAACACACTGACATACTATTTAATTTAGCCATCCATGATGAGTTCATTTCTATTTGTCATATTTACATTTTCATTTTTTAATAATTCAGTTCATTCTTTCACATTTCCTCTTTTTTCTTTTCCTTTCTGTAAATATATTTTGCTTGTTTTGTACTGAATGTTTCGTTCCATCAATGAAATCAAATGTACAAAAAATGAAAAAAACCGATGTTTAAATATTTTATTTCGCAATGAAATTTACTTTTAAATGTTCTAATTTTATAAATTTTATTTGCATTCAACAATTTTTGATCATTTTATTGATTTCTTACCAAAGTTAAGTTTTCCTATCATTTTTTATGTTTAAATTTAATAGTTATATTTTTCTATGATAAAAATCATTACATTGTTTGAATATTTCGTAAAAAAAGGCTAACATAAATACATTTGATTTTGCTTAAAATATGATAAAATAAGTGAAGGAAGTATGAAATTGATAATTGGCTTAAAAAGGGAGAAAAAACTTTTATGGAGGATGTGAAACAATGTTTTGATTAGCTATAAATATTATCTGAGTTTCGAATTCATGTTAATTTAAATGAAATTGAATTCGAATTCATATTCATATCATCGCAACTGCTATTATTTATTAGCTCTTTTGCAAAATTTGATTCTAATTTTATGAAAATGATACATTTATTCATTCAATTCATCTTCTACTGACATACTTGTTTGAACTTTCACTTTAGAAATGAATGAAAATGCATTGCTCAAATAATTTTAATTCTACGTTCGATGATTGAATCATAATTTAAGGTTTTTTTCTTTCTGCTTTACTTGTCAATATTATATTTTTATAAAATTATAACATCATACAGTATGTAATAAACACAAAATATGTATACGATAGATAGTGAACACATATTTTTAACAAAATTTTCACTCTGAATATAATCCTATTTTCTTGTTTTGCTTTATAACTGAACTATCAAGCCGAAAAATACTATTTAACTTTATTGCTTTAGTGATAAGCTGAAATAATGGATATCCGTTACTAATTTATTATGGTAACACTTCGCAGAAACTCCTTCATTAAATTGTTTTGCTGTAATAACAATTTAACAATTATGTCATTTTAAGTTATACTGAATGGATAATTTAAAACGTTATCATTAAAATTGTTAAAATTA